GATTGGTGTATATAATGAGAATAATAAAGAGATTGTGTAACTCTTTGTTATCATATTTTTTATGAACTTGATGAAATTTGTGTTTGTTCTTTATTTTTTTTTCCTTTTTTTCTTATTTTCCTCAAACCTTTAGTAAAATAAATTTTTGACTTACATTAATATTTATTTTTTCAAGTTATTTCCTCAAATCTCTCAAGACAGATTTTTACATCAAAATTACTTTTTCTATTAAATTTTTTGTATATCTATTCACTTATTTATAACCATTACTTATTATTTTACAATATATATCACATTATTTTATTATAAAAGTCAATAATTAATTCTTCCAGTAAATTGTATTCATCCAAATATTTTTTTCCCAAATGAAAACATATTAAAAATTTCGAAAAGTTTGAGGTAAGTTTGGGTGTAGGCGACTTATTTTGAATTGATAATTTGACTAATATTCGAAGTATTTATGTTCATCATTTAGAAAGTTAAAACAGTATTTGGGTCAGTTTCCATCATCTAATATAAAAAATATTGTATGCTAATTAAAAAATAAATAAATCAAAACATAGAATTTTAATAAACCAAGCTTCAGTCTTTTAGTACTTGTGGAAATATAAATTACCTAATATTCAAAATAAAATTTATGAAGTAATTAATGATAATTATTTTGTAATAAAACATGATTTTATATTTATTATATAATGAAAGTATTGGTGAAAATTAAAATTGTAATGGGCTGGCTACCCGTTGGATGGTGGCGTTGCTTTCGGCCTTTTCTTTGTGATGGGCGAGCAGCAAGTTTGTGAAGTATAATATGTATTTGATTGCGTCGGAAGACGAGGGAAAGCGAATTGGGCCGGGGTATTCAATCCTATGTGAAACTGAGATGCCCAATACTAATAAATTTGGTCCAGGATTCAAATCACAAGTGAAATTTATGACAGTGGGAATCACTTATATGTGCTAAATTTGTACCAATCTCGCGGACAAAAACAGTCCCTCTGGAACAAAGAACAAAAACAAGACAGAAATGTCAAAAGGCATAAAATTCACACTGGAGAGGATTGAATTTTAACATAGAAATGACAAAGACAAACAAAATGTCTGGCAGGTGAAAAAAGAAAATCACTGTAAGCAATTATTATTATTATTATTATTTTTTAATATAAAGCAGATGAAATAATACTCTCAATTTATTTGAAGTTTTGAACCCAATAGACTTGCTCCACTTACAATTATCTCTGTGGAGCAGCGACTGCTCTAACAACATATTTCAAAATCCTTGTCACTACTACTCGCCAATTGCAGAATAATGCTATAACAAATAACAAATGGGTTAGACATGCACCCTTATCATAACTATGGCCAACACACACACCGCAAGCTCCCTTTTTCTCAAGCAGAACCTGAAAGCACAATTGTACCAAGAGCCGTCTTTCATTGTATATGAATGTCTAGTTGTTCATTAGACAATAGCAAAAGAGGCCTCTTATTCTGCCAAACGATACTCCCAAAAATTCCGAAAAACCTAACCTCAAAAGATTATGTCTTCATCCTTCTCGCAACCAACGCCAGCCAAGATGTCCAGGACCGAATTTACCGAAACGCCCCTCTCGAGCGAAATCTCCTCCGCAAACTTCTCCTCCTCGAAAGCCTTGGCCGCCTCGCGCTGCCTCTCGACCTCCCTTCTCTTGTAACCCTGAATCTTCTTCAGCCTGAAAAAGTCCTCCCTCTCGAGCTCGTCCAGCTCTCCCTTGATGTAAGTTATCGTGTTCTCGAGCCTCGGTTTGACCACGTTCTCGAGAGCGTTGACCCTCCGGTTCGTGGTCTTGATGGCCTCGTCGAGCGTCAAGAAAGACGTCTGGAGAGTCGCCAGCTCAACAAGAAGCTCGATCGACTTCACGTAAGCTGCCCGGCAGGCCTGCACCTGCTGCCCGCCTCTGGCAAGCCCGGTTAAGTCATTCTTGGTCTCGCCGCCACCTTCTATGAAGTACTCGAATTTCGGGAGCTTTACCCCTGCGATATTCTCCTGGTACGAACGGACTTTGAGGGCTGCTGACTGGACGTTTTCTCGCACGACGTGCTTGATGTTCTCGCCAGCCACGTACTTGGCCTCCGTGAGGGCGAAACTGGAATTTCTCATGACGTCGCCCATGGATTCTTTTGTCGAGACGATGTTTTTGAGGATCTGGCGGAACTGAACAGTGAGGGCGTCGCTTTTTTTCTTGAGGAGGGCGTGGCCTCGGGTGGCTCCCACGAGCCTGGCCTTCATCACCCCAAGCATGGTTACGGTGGGGACCACGTTCAGGCGCTGGGTCTGTCCTGACATCTTTCTTGGGATTTTTTTTTTCTTTCTTTATCTTTTTTCCTGTGTGAGGAGTTCAATATATCCTAATGTTGCTGGAAAAGATCATGAAATGAACAGCGAACAGGAAAGAGATATTTGAGACAGTCAATGGCAGGGCTAAATTTCTGAATCTATCTTTTTTTTCATCGATCAACGTCTTTGTTGAGATTTTGCATAGTTGAGAGGGAAAATATCATAGATGTGACTACAGAAAGATAATGTAACAACTGAATAAATACTTCACAAAAACTGGACCTTTTAGATACTTCAAATCCCCTGTCAGTCTTACAATTTAATCGGTCCGATTACAATTGGTTCGGTAACGGTTTCTTACCGAAAAAACCGAAATTTATCAAATAAACTTCCTGAGAGCAAAATTACTTGACATTGGAGAAAATAAAAAATATGCGTTGCATAATCAATAGTCAATTCCATTAAATCGATGGCCAGTTTTATCAGGATGCGTCCCTGAAGGCTGAATCTACTACCGGAAAACAACCGATAAACCGAGGCACATTTCAACAAGAAATCTCATTCCAGAGTTCAATACAATTAGTAGAATTTCCACAATTCACATATTCTCTTCAATCCCAATTAGGGCGAACACCAATATAAAAAACTGTACACTCTTTCAGTACCTGAATTTGTGATGCTTCCACTGAGAGTTTTGCCTGCCAAAGAGAAGGTGTCGCTGCCGATTAGAGTGAGGAGCGAGCGCGAGAGATCTGGTTTCTCACTGAGGAGCCCGATCTGTGAATGGGTGAGCGTGAGATGAGAGGGTCGATTTTTTTATTTATTTTTTATATTATCTGTGAATGGGTGAGACTTTGAGAATGAGATGAGAGGGCCGATATTATCTTTTAGTTAATGGGTGAGACTTTGATAAACTGAGAGGGTCATAATTATTACTTCTAAGTTATTATACTAACTAGTACAAATCCCGTGCGATGCACGAGAGCATTTATTGCCCATTTATTTTTTAAAAGATATTTTTGTATTTAAATTATTTCATACCATTAAAAATTTCATGAAAATAAAATTTATATGTTATTAAAAGCTTCCTTATGTACAACATTATTAATTTAATTCTTTGACACGTAAAGTACTACATAGGTGTTCGAATTTATCCAAAATTGCATATTATTAGTTAGTAGTTAACAAATTTTAAAAAATTTAAAGAATCTTATTTATTAAACAAAATTAAAGTAGAAAAAAGTAGAATTTTTTAGAGATTTTCACCCATTATTTATTTTAAATCTAATTCTAAATTTCAATTAAGAAAAATTAAAAATAATCATTAGTTACTCCTGGAAATAAAACCGATTTTCCTATCAATAAACCGATTTTTTTATCAAACAGATTGATCCGAATTTTTTTTTTAAACCAAATAAAAAAAATCATCAGTTTTTCCTAAAAATGCAACCGAATTATCCTAACATTGCACCAATTTTTGTACCAAACAAATTGAATTGAAAATAATTCTAACAAAAAATTGAAATAAATTGTTAATGTTTATGAAACTATCTCTTTCCTAAAGAAAATGATATGAACTTAACCAAAAAAAAAAAATGATATGAACTTACCAAAATTTCGGTAAAACATGGTTAAGAGAAAACATAAGAGTCCAAAAAAATCGATGTATTTAAATTTTGAAAAGTTGCACACAATTTTTCCTAAATAATTGGATAAGGTGACTTTAAATATCAATGATGAACCGCTTTTGTTACCAAAAAATGTGGACACAATTTTGAATGTACATCCCGTCCAAATATCAGTTTTATTTTAAACTAAAAATTGCAAGTGGCTTTATCCAATTTACACAATTTTTTTGAAAGAAAAAATTATTCAATAAGATTGAAAGAATTGATTAAGAATTATACAACTATTTGCTTCCTAAATTTGTATCCAGTTTGCACGGTTTTTAAATTAATTTGTATTTAAAATTATTTTCATAAATAATTGATGTATTTTTTTACATAAGAATCTCCAAATTTACTACAAAAAGAATATGATTTAAATTTTGGTAAAAAATAAAATATGATACGAAAAAAATGGGATTCAAATTTGATGGGTCTACTTCTAGATCTGAAGTGAACCGGTGGTTGTGAGCTCAGATCCGCTTGAACCGCCTTGAAACCGTTGCTAGATCGCAAGGATACCTGCAAAAACTCAACGCCGGAGGTGTTTCCGGCGTAGAGCCTCCGACGCTCAAGTCAGTATGAGAGTGATGAAGGGAGGCTGCGCAGCAGCTATGGGGAAGAGTGGGAATGAATGAGAGTTGGGGTTTAGGGTTACCTCATCTCCTTTATATAGGAGCGAATACTTACGTGAAGTGTCCAAAATGCCCAAGTCGGTGGACTTAGAAGGTCCAAAATACCCCTGTCGATTCGTCTCCCCTTTGTTGCTGAGTCATCGTAAGATTCCTTCTTATCTTTGATAGTATGTGGAGTTTTGGATATATTACAAGTGTGATGAGTCGTCATCACATCTTCGTTATTCGAGGTATGCGAGGTCGACTTCGAGAGCTAGGAGGTCGACTCGGGGATATGTGTGGATTCGGAGGCTACACTTGGCTAATCACTTGTGGTGAAGTCGTCTTAGTTCAGTCGTCTGTTGGAAGTCGACTTAGGATATCAGGATGCTTGGGCACAGTACTCTTGCTGTTACTCTTTTATTGATGCCGACTAGTGAAAGTCAATAGATTAAAGTCGACTTGCGAGAGTCGACTAGACCAATTCCTGCTTCTTCTTGATTGCTCTTAGCAGAATCGACCTTAGGTAAGTCGACTTGAGCATGTCGGCGGAGTCATGTCGACATGCGAGTAGTTTGTTGGTTGAGTAAGGAGCTTCTGGACCGGATTATCCTTATACGGCTATATCATCTAGTCCCTCCCCAAAAATTACTCTAAGCAGTCGACTGCTTAAGAGTAAATTTGGTGAATTGTAATTGTGTCGCTTTCCCCTCTGCCTCGTTTGTATCGGTTTCTCTGACGACTCGTATCGTCAATCAATTAGGGCGCACTCCAATCCCATGATTGCTTTTTCGGATAAAAGTCTGACATTCTGACAGACCCTTTTCAAATTTCGAATTTCGAAAAACCCTAAAGCGACGCGCGTCACTTCAACCGCCGACCCTTTGGGTTCTGTGTTTCATCAGGACCGTTGGTTCTCTTGCTGATCCAACGATCGTCGCCTGTTGCTCCCTTCTATAAATGCACCTCTTTTTCTCCAAAGGTCATTTTTCGCCTTCTCGAATTTTCTGCTTTCTCCAGCTTCCTCAAACTTTCCGGCAATCTCCGTTCTTCGATTCCACCGGCGCTCTTTTCTTCCGGCAACTTCAGGCTCGTTCGCAGTTCCAACCACGCCATTATGTGTAAGTTCACTGTCTCCTAACTTCTCAATTCTCTGTTGGCTTTTTCTTTTCTTTTTTCTGATTTTCTCTGGATTCCCAGAATTTTCGAAGTTCATGCATGTTCTTCATATTTTTTTTTGAAGATTTTCTATGATTTCTGTGTTGGATCTTGGATTGCGCATGTTTCACTTGGACTTATTGTTGTTGGCCAATTGTCGGCTGCCGATGTGCAGTCGATTCTCATCTATCACTGGGTCGACTCTCCCTCGACTTAGCGATCTTCTTCTTTTAGTTTTTCCCTGTCGAGTCGACTAGGATTGATTTGTTGATCTATCTAAGCCGAGCTTATCAATAGCGTTTGTCCCCTTCTTTTTATCCTTTTACCCTCTGTCGATCCTTGAGGGTCGACTTTACTCGTTCTTGTGGACCTTAACTCGTGATTTTACTAACCTAGTCCTTTCTCCTTTCTTTTTCTTTCCTTAGCTTCCGACTCGTCTCCTCTCTCTGGCTCCCTTGGTCAACAGATCAACGACTATGTTCATCGTGTCGACGAGGGTTCTAGCTCGGATTCCGTCGAGGTGACCGGTTATAAAATGACTTCGCTGCATCCTTCTCCTTCTCGCATTTTGGCTACTTCAGTCGACTGGGAACATCATGATCAGGCGCTTTTGGAGAGCGACCTGGTCGACACCGTGAAGAGTCCTTCTCGGGGCAATCCTCCTCGTCTCGACCTCATCCCTCGAGGTATTCCTATTAGGTTATTAGCCATCCCTGTTTATAGAACAAGCCCTATGTCTGTATCCATAATTGCTCCTCTTCTCGATTCTCAAAATACTGTATCGATAGCTTGTCCTTTAGCTAGGTTAGCCGTTTTAAATCCTTTTTGTTATGCCTCTGCAGCCGAAGTCGAGGGTTTCAGAAAGTTCAGCGGGCTTCCCTCAGACTGGGAGTTAGTCGCCCCTGGTCTTAACGACGATTTCGCTCATCCTCCTCCCGGTTGCCATACGTTTTTTATAGATCAAGTCGTCTTTGGTCTCCGCTTTCCAATCCAAGACGAGCTAATACTAATAAGTGACTTGTACAATATTCCCATAAATCAGTTTTCTCCCAACGCTATCCGTATTATGATAGCCTTTATAGTCGTCTCCCGAATAATACTCAACTTCTTCTCGCCCGAGTTTTTCTTCTATTGCTACGGTTATCGTCTTTCCAAAGGCGCCCATTGTCTGGGTCGTCGTGCCGGCGTCACTTTCCTCGATGATCTTTCGTCGAACGTGACTGAGTGGAAGTCGAAGTACGTATTCATTCGACCTGCTCCCGGCATGTATCCTTATGTGAATAAATGGATTACTTCGAAAGTTAAACAAAATAAACGGCCCCAATCCGACGAGTTCGCTACCCTACTAGCGGAGCTCAATAAGCATACGTATAGTGCTCGTCAATTAATAAAAGACCGTGAATTGGTCAATCACGCCCGAATCGTCCTTTACGAGGACCTTCCTCGCCTCGATGACCCCCGTAAGCTTCTACTTGTGTACTTGTTTGTAAACTTCGATCATTCGAATCATGACTACTAAGTGTTCTTCATTTACCAACTTTTCTTCTATTATTTCAGTTAAGGCACTTAAACGCTTCGAACTCAAGAAACAACCGGTCGAGAAGCCGGCGGGCGGCTCTGTTCCACCTCCCTTTCGTCCCGCTGGTGCGGCAGTCGAATCGACTGCTGCGAAGAAGTCCAGGGTCGATAACCCTGGTGCCACCCAAAATAAACCGTCGGGCTCTAGCTCCCGCAAGAGGGCTCAAGATGATCGGGCCGTCGTCCTGATCCCAGACGACCTGAAGCGCCGCAAGGTCGAGAAAGGGAAAGGGAAGGCGGTCGAGAAGCCTGCCAAAGCCCCCATCACCGTCCAGGACGTGACGGTCAAAATGCCGTCTCGACTCTGGAACCACCCTGAGCCTTATCAGGTGGCCCAGTACCTTAACTCTACTATCCCCGACGTCGACAAGGAGCGCGTCGAGGGGAATCTTTATGAGCGCTCGAACTACGCCGTCCTGTGTCTATCTCGGATAATCTTCTTAACCTTAAATCCTCTTGTCATACTCTTCTTGAATTTGGCTCATCTAATCCCATTTGTTTTCCATGTTCTTTCGCAGTTCCTGGCCGCAGCGCTCCCTTGCTTCGAGGAGACGAGCAAGGCTCCCCTCGCCTCTACCAAGTCCCTCGAGGACAAGTGTGAGGCTCAGCGCCATGAAATCGAGGCGCTAAAGGAGGACTTGGAGGCCTCGAGGGCCCTTGTCGACAAGCTGAAGGCCGACAAGGCCGTGTTCCGGCATTTGAATGACAAGCTTAAGGCTGACCTCGACAAGGCTCGTGACGAGGCCGTCGTCGAGAGGGAGAG